TGTGATCTTCTACAGTAGCATCGTATTGGTTTTGTTTGTTAATAAAGTTTGATCTCTTGCTTGGGTACTTTAAACAAGGACTGATGTAAGTAGAATGCTCCAATGTGACGTTTGTTAACCACAAATAAAGGAAGAAACCATTACTGTTTCTTGGAACATTTTATTCTTCGAGCTTAAAGGCCATTCAATCCTAGTAGTTACAATAATTTCATAAATGTATCACCAACCAAGGTTTTTAAATTGTTTACTGTGAAACTACAAGTACAAAAACTGTTAGTCTTTATTGAGACATTTTTGAATACAGATTCTTTGTGTTTGACTGTTCCTTTTTCAAAAAGACATCTCAGCATTCGAATTTCTTCAGGTACATACAGTATATAGACTAAAGCAACATTTCCAAAATAAATAAAATGTGTAAGATTGCTTGCTTTTATGAAAAGATCCCAAGGACAGCACTATACTGTATGTCTACATTGGTATATTTGGTTTGTCTTCCTAAAGACACTAGCTTATCACAGCAGTGCCTTATCTCTAAAGAATGAGGTAAGGTGAAAATGAAAAATCACAGGCTGGGGAGATCAAGCAAACATAAAAATGTGTGAAAAAATACAAAAAAGCTCAAATTAACTGTCACAGCTTTTTTGTTGGGTGATAGACTGCTTCTAGAAATTACAGAAGGTAAAGTAACCTTTCTCATTTTAGGATTGCAGGCCTGTTTGGATTTTCATCAAGAAATGTACTAGAATTGTGAAAACGAATTTTTTTCCCCTTGCATTTCCATCCCCTAATTATGGTTACGTACTGCATAAAAAGAAAACAGATTTGTCAAGGACAAAGTGTAAGTGTTATCTAAATGCATAATCTCAATTTTACTTCTGCAGTGGAATTAGTCCCATGTCAGTATTACAAAGTCTTACTTCTTCAGCTTGTTTGCTTATTACTTAGCAAAAATATAAAATAATTTTATATATTTTTTCTAATACCAAGTCCATTTCAGTCTGTCAAGACTGCGGCATTTACATGAGATCATAGGGAATTTGTCTCTCCTCATTTTGGACCAAGTTGTTGTCCAAATTCCTTGATGGCATCTGTTGCTTTGCCTGCAGCTGTGCCTATGGCACTCTGAGTCTGCTTGGAGGCCTCATCTGCAGCTGAAAATATAAACAGAGAAGCCTTGTTTGAAGTTTGATGATATTTCAATGGGGACCCTTTTTAAAAAAAATAATGCAGAAGCAAATCTGAATTAAGCATAAGAAATATTTATTATTGCAGCTACTGATCACAAGCATACAAACCCAAAACCCGATTATTTTCTATTGTTGTGGTGATGTCATTGCAATTGTGACTCCCCTGCACTGTTACATAACCATAAGCTCCACCACTCTTTACTAAGTATACCACCTGAGTTTATGACATTGTGAGCCCCGTCAATTGCACAGGGACTTTGATTTGAAACACCACTTTGAAGAGCAGCAGCAACATAAAACTGAACGTGTGTCTGATTCCAGCTGTCTTATACTGCACATGTCTGCTGTGCAAGGCACATTGGAGAAGGCACATGAGTGAGCGTCCCTGTTAGGCCCTCTGTTCAACTAGTGAATTGGATCAGTTCATGCCTGGATGACTAAGCCATCTCGGTTTTGGTTTGGATGCCTTCCCATAACCGGGCTACACGATGTGCTGAAGCAAACCCATGGAGGTTTTCCCTCTCTAACTCAAGGGTACGACGGGGGATGGTCTATGGGATCCCTGTGGGTTCCTGGTCGAGAACCGGTCCTGTATCACGCTGCTTTGAAGGACGGATAACCTGAAAGCTCAGCTGCTGATTGCTCAGTCACTGCCCTACCACTCTGCCATGGCCTTGCACATTCAATAATAACTTAAATGTATTTAGGTAGGGTGACTTGCCCTTGACAGACCAAATGAAAAGGTAACTAGTGTAGGAAGTTTAAAAATGAAATGTACCGTATGAAACTCTCCCTACTTTCTTTAAACATCCACAAAGTGTATTTGTTAAAGGATTTAGAAATCCCTAGGGTTTGAAAAATCGGTTTGGCCATGCAGGTCAGCTATGAAGCTCGGTAAACATAACAACAGATGAATGCTGGCAGTGGCTGAGCTGGTATAATGGCAGAGCTGGTACTAGAAGAGATATACCCATTTTTGTTGTTTCTTTGGATGACTCTGCCACCTGCTGCACAGCCTCTTGTGCTGCTTGGACTGAAATGCAAACAGAGAGAAATACATTTAATTTCTTATGAAAATGCATTGATTCTATCAGTTGACCTTTTGCTTTGTGCAGTTAATTATGTCTGAATGCATTATGTCATTCCTTTTACAGCCTCTTTAAGTAGTACATTATGATTTATTCTATTCTAATTTGCAAAATTCTTCACATGTCTAATCTAGGTAAAGTCCTAGATATGCTCAGTCTAAAGGACGTGTTTTTTTCTGAAATATGAACATAATTCATTTAATTTGTATTGCACTTTATTACAAAAAGTGCCTTCATAATTTTAGTAAATGGATTTGGAGCAGTTGGACTGGCTTCAAAACACTTTAGAGCAGATAGCTGTGTCAGCATGTGAGCAACAGAGGAGCAAGTAAAGGTTAATTCCACTGTGAACAGTAAAAAGAAGACTTTTTTATGGGGAAACCATTTTTTGTGTTTTTTTTTTCAGCATAGAATTAAACTCTGAATGTTCCTTCATAAAAAACCTTTTAACAGCCAAAGTTTCTCCCAGTTTGATGAATGACATTAGACAGTTTGAAGCAAGACTACAAATGTAAATGACGAGACATGGTTGAAAAACAGTACAGCAACATTAAGCAACGCCTGAATGATTTAAAGAGTTAAAATGAATAGAACAGGCATTGTGAGCTGTCATTTGAATAAATATGTTCTTCAATTAAAAAAGCGACAATGAATGCTGTTTGTTTTTTTGTCCATCAAGGTGTGCTCCCTAGTTCCTGTCGAAGTTATTGCAATGATAAGTGAGCTGTTTGTTTCATTTTGTAGCTCAAGATCATGTATGGTGTTCCACATTACGAGGCAAGTTTTAGGTCTCTAAAAGAAGAAGGAAAGCTTTAATTCTCTTTCATTCTTTTCTCCATAGCAAACAGTAGTCTCTGTCAATTATGGTATCTTCATTTGCTTTGTACAGTATTATGTTTTGGCTATTCTTCAGATTTTGATGTTTATTTAATATGTGTATTTCTGCAGAAAGTTAAGTTTAGACTAAAGCTACATAAATTCCTTAATTCAATATCTAATGATGAAAATAAGTTATTGTTGGCTGCAGTGTAAAGTATGAATTTCAGACTGACCTTTTCCTACAAGAGGAATGTGTTACTTAATCCACTAACCTTTATTGTCATCAGTAATCTAGACAGATGCTTATATTGATTTTAAATGTGATAAAGATTATTTTAAATTGTGCCTTAGAATATATTTTGAAGACAGGAGACTGAAAAAACAACAATATAAAAAAACTCCACTAGATTTTAAGATAACTGAGCTGTTTTAACAATGGCATGTGACTAAATATTTCCTAGTCTTGGTACTGGAGAACAAATGTGTCTTTGTTTTCATTCCATTTAGTATTTAGGCTTGCTGAATCTTTAAACTATTTTTAAATATTTCCAACTCTTAAATAATTTTAGAATAGGTTAGATTAAACCCTGTGTAAAATGCTTGTTTTCAGGACCCCTCCCGATAACAAGGGTTATTGTTTAAATGACCATCTGGATTTTAACTAGTGAGTTAATAAAACTATGAATACCTGAAATGATAGTTATTGCACTTACTTTATATATATCTTTAACTGATAACTGGTCAAAGTTTGTTCAGAAAGCTAAGAGAAAGAAACAATCTCTTTGAAAATGAGATCTGAGTGCACAATATGGATAAAATCAAGCAATTGGTTACATTAACAATTCAATCATTTTTAATTAAGAGCTCTGCTGAAAAACAAAAGAGACAGTAGTATTCTAGGATCCAGAGTGGGAACAACTAACATAGGAAAGGTATACTCAAATTCCAGTTACATTTTTGAAAACATATCAATATGTGGACATATGCTGTTGTATGTTCTAGGGTTGGACAACCCCAGAGATGAACTTTTCAGAGGGTTTAATGGGTCACCCTTAAGACATCAATTTCTACACCCCAAGAACAAATCTTAACCACTTACACTGGTGACTTATTCAATTAAGAAGCTTGGAGAACTTTTGTCATAAAAATCTAAAACGCGCACAGAGCCAACAAGAAGTCTTCAGTCTTCTTTTTTTTCCCCTGTGATCTAACGTTTTGCAGGTGACAACAGCTTAACGGTGTGATGCAACAACGAGAAGGGAACTCTTAAAAAAAGGTTCTGTGCCATGAAGTGGCCTTAACGCAGCATTTCCACATGGACGGATGTCAACATTAGACCTTAGACTGGAGTTAAGTTGAGAGATAGTGGGATTCAGCGTTCGACGTTTTCTTACCAGCAGAATCGGTGACTCCCTTAGCAGCTGCCTGCGTTGTCCCTTTGAGTCCTTCGAGAGACTTCTTCACAGAGGCCATGGCTGATAGCTGTTTGGCTGCAGGACTGCCCTGGCATCAGGAATGCCACTCACAAAATGCCCATTTAATACCCTCCCCACTGAAGCCCCTGGGGGCAGCCAGCCTGAGCCAGTACACACCGACGTGATTACGGATGAAAAACTGTGAAAAGGAAGAGATTACTGTGGCATTTCAAAAATGAGCTTATCTGGTGATGTGCTCTATTCTGTGTGCTAATGCAAGCATGTTTTTCTAAAGCTGGTACAGTGCTGGCAGAGGAGACATCCTGGAGATATTTAATCTTTGCTGATATCATTCATTTGGCACTTCATTGCACAACTAGTGACAGGCATTGGCTGTGTTCTCTTTTTTTTGTTGTTTACCTCATTACCAATCTGTTTTAATACCTTGGGAACGTCTATCAATGCAAAAATCAAACAAACACAAGCAAGAGTAAAACGCAACTTTTTTTCTTTATTCTTTTTATTTACAGAGAATGTATCTGGTTTGACACATAGGTATTTAGTGTTGATCATTCCTGCATTGTCTCTCTTTTTTTTTTTAAAAGCACATGTTGAACTGACAGGCATTTCACTCAATATTCTTTTTTAAGACACACGTACACTAACTTTGAATATTTTTGATCATCAATACATACACGCACGAATATATATATATAGATTTGTCAGTTTCTAATGAATGCCTCACTGGAATGATATCACAAGCAACTGTAAAGATACAATGTAAAAAAATCCTAATGTGAAACACCAAATAATCAAGTCATTAAATAAAAAAAGATAACTCACATACAAGCATTGTACAGCTATATAGGATTATTGTTCTTGTATATGCATCTTTGAGTTTTATTGGAAGATACAAAACATCTATACCACACGCACATACACACAAGTACACAAGTACAAAGATTCACGTACTGAGCTCAGACCTCACTTCGTTGGGAGGGAAACAAGGAAGTGAGGCCTGGCTGACAAATTATTCAATAAATATCTGAAACAAACACGTTACAGAAAACATGACGATTCAAATCAGTTATTAAAAGTTTTTTTTTTCCATTTTCTTTAAGGAAGATCCTTGGGATTTGTTTTGCACCAGGGGTGACTGTGAGGGTTAGGGAGTTGTCCTTTTATTGATAACTATTTTAACTATTGTGCTGCTGCTGGTCAGACAGGGGCAGGGAATTGGTGATGTTTACGCTTCTGGTTCATAATCCTGGTATTCCTCCTGCAAACATGAAAGACATTGAATAACTGAGATGATAAAACATCAAGTTTTCATTGTGTTTAATTTACATTTTCACTCTGGACATTGTCAGAGAACAGAAATTAGTGCCATAGTCATTTCATTCAAGCTTTTTAAGTGTCCTCGTGAGATATCCATAAACGTCACGTGAGTCTTGTACTCAAAAATGTTGAGCAAAGCAAAAGCACTATTTGAGAAAGCAGGATCTTGTTGTCTAAAGGGCAGATCAGTACAATACTTGTACAGTTAACGATTCTTAGGAGATTCTTGAATGAAATACAATTGCAAGCACATCAGTCATGTCCAAAATCTGCAATGAAACCCACAGGGTGCATGTCTTGTACCACACCTTGTCAGAAAACAAAAAAGCTATCTGATTTTGCAGCTTTACTGTCATTGACAGGTACATTTACCCAACAAAGTATCAGCACCTTGATATATGAAATAAGGTTTTTACTATTTTATTAAGACTGTTAAGGGACACATATTTCTGCTTCTAAATATATAGCTTTATACAGAAAATTCACATATGTTGCTAGGAGTTTATAATTGAACCATATTTTTTCTCTTTATTTCAATCCTTATTAGGAAGATTGAACACCTATAAATAGCTGGTGGAACAAAACTACACTACAAAAGCACTTAATTGTGACTATTGATATTATTTGGAATGACTGTGAAACAAGCCCCTGTTGATCCAGTAACTGAGGCCCTCTATAACCTTTGTATGGATATCAGTATCGTGGTGAAGATAAGGCCTTCTGGGACAGAAATTAAAAGAAAATTCACAGATATTTATAAACTCTTAACAAGACTCACAGAAGCCATGATAATTGTGCCTACAATTACACTTTCAGGACAATGATACCTACAATTATTGAACGCTCCTTCACTTTAACAGACATTAGAAGTTCTTGTATGCTAATTTAAAATGTTATGATACTTACATCTACAGCTACATACTGTACATTTTTAAGAGGTAAACATTACTTCCCTGTATCTTAAATGTCTTCTAATATTTATAAGACTTTACAAATGACTGAATATAGGGTGGTACAACATAGGTCTCACGTTGTGTAATATTTTAGAAATCTATTTCTTTTATGTTTCAGCAATAACCAAGCTGTCCATTTTCTGATCTTCTCTCATTTCTGAACACAGGTGAATACTGAAGAAATAAACTTTCTTGCATTACAAACAATTATTTTGCAGATGTGTTCCTTAAGTCGATATTAACTGCTCTCTTTCTGAAATAGATTCTACTGCTTTGTGCTGCAGTGGCTTCCACCAGCCACAAGAGGACAGCATCACCTCTACTTGGCCACAGCGAAAGCAGACTGATGCACAGGAGTATTGCAAGGTTAGGGCATATTAACACTGCCTTTGAAATTATCTTGTTTATTTCTCATTTGCATACTCAGGCCACTATTGGTGGGGCAGAGATACACAAGAGGCCATTTGTTCTTGATTGTGTTCAGAAGTGCTGTGTGGATCTTGCCACAGCGTGGCATCGTTATCATGAGAGATGCTGTGCTGCTCTTAGTTTTCCTAAGGATCCTTGTTTAAAGCAATGAGGGCAGCATCCCTGGTGCTTCCCACAATGCACTACATATCTTTACATCACCACTACGCCCACGTGCTCAGTAACAGCTGGCTTGGAGAGGAAAAGGGATGGGGGAGGGAGGAGGAAGATGGAGATGAAGGGGGAGGGGAGGGAGAGATACTGGGCAATTTTCTAAGCCTTTTCAGAATTAGCACGCTCCAAGCACACTGAAGACTTTACAAGTATGGTTAAGGCTTGAGAACTTGTGCAGGCTTTGTGAAGTAAAAATAATAATGCTCTTGCATTTAACAGGAGCAATGTGAGCATTCATACTTTGTGTAAGGCACAGTAAACGCATACAACAAGAAAGCATCTACTGCAGCAGTAGAAAATAAATTCTAATTTATACTTAGGAATCAAAATATTTTTACAGATTTTCTTTTTGATTTTGTCACTAATGGTTTCCAGTTAAATTCAATGTACTGGCATCATGAATTTAAAGTTGCATTTCAACATTTTAGCATGTCTGCATTTCTGAAATGATTTTAAATAGCTGAACGCTCAAACATACACATGTAGGCAACTAGAAACCTCTGTCTCTTCTATCAAAAACATAATTTGTTTTCTGATTTTTGTCTAAAACTAGTCATAACTACACAGGAATTAATAGCATGCAATCTTGATTCATGAATAAATGGAATGTCTTTTGGACTGTGCATTTCTCTTATTGCTAGAAGCACTTCATATGAATATATTATGGCTAGGAGTGCCTCTTCCATCTTCACTGATGTGCAGCGAATGAGCTCCTTGTAGTCTTCCTTCCTCCAATTTAGAGAACAACAGCTCTACAGCAGCATTCACACTCTTATTCTAAACAAAGAGGTGTAATTCCTTCTGGGGTTTGGGTATTCACAGCAATGTGCTAGAATATATACAGCCAGGCTTATAACAATAGACTTGGCTACAGAAGATTGTGTCACAATTTAGAATTAACAAATACAGTACATGTATAAATTCTGACGAGCCTCAACCCCCTGATTTATTTCAAGCCAGCAGCCATTTCACCTTGCAACTCATAACTGGCATCCCACTGATGCTCAGCAGGTGTGAGTCTGGTGGAAGAGGTGTTAGTGGGGCCAGTAGGGGGCGCTCACCCTGCAGTCTGTGTGGGTCCAAATGCTCTAGTACAGTGACGGGGACACTAAGCTATCAAAAAGACGCTCTCCTTTAGATGAGACGTAAAACTGAGGTCCTGTTTTTCCATGGTCATTAAGAATCCCAGGCTCTTTCTCGAAAAGAGTAGGAGCATTTCCCTGGTGTCCTGGCCCAAATTCCCCCTGGCCATAAGCAGCCTCCTAATAATCCCCATCTAAGAAATGGTTTGATTACTATTCTCCTCTCCATTGATAACTGGAGTGTTGGAGCATAAGCGTGCACTATGGCTGCTGTCACATCATCCAGGTGGGGCTGCACACTGGTGGTGGTGGAGGGGAGTCCCCATTATCTGTGCAGTGCTCTGAGAGGAGTGTCCAGAAAAGAGCAATATACTCTTAAGTGTAAGTATATAATAATAAAAAAATTGGGACAGGTAGCTACTTCTCTAACAAACTAATACTTTTTCTGTGAAATGCTGGTCTAATCCTCTGGCTAGCGCAGTAGTCCCCGAGGCCTGAGCGAGCCGGTCGGGGAGGGCTCACTCTCGGCCCCCGACAGCACACTCACCTGTGGAGCTTCTTCGTAAGTCTCCCCCTCGGGCTCGATGAGAGGCTCCCCCATCGGCTCCTCTGTGGCCTCCTGGCCCAGTTCCTCAGGCTGCGGAGACACAAGCACATAGGGCTGATGTGAACCCGCAACGCAAACAGAGCTCCCTTTTCACATTGGAGGACAGTTTTAATCTTGGAGACCACACGAGCTGCTGTCATCCCCGTTATCAGTGGCTGACCTCTGGAGAATTTTCCTGAAATGTTTTTTTTTTTCAACTAAATTGACTATCAATACCTCTGATACAGAAAGTAGAAATATAAAACGTTGCGCTTCTCTTAATTTAATTCAACTTTAATTAAAAGATGTTCTAAAAGATGTCATACTCTTCCCGTTGTCTATACTGCCACCAGACTGTTACACTGGAATTTTAATTTGTAGTGTTTTTGTGGATTAGTTTTTACCTCATTAATTTATAAGCACAGATTAAAAATAATCACAGAACAAATAAGATAAATAAGTGCTGTCTTGACCTAAGAATATGTAAAAGACAAATATACCAAGTTTTAACACAGCAATATCTAATAGGTTGGTATTAAAATCACAGTACAGGTATAGAAGTGATACGATATGTTCAAAATTTGATAATATGACAGTTGGCTCAGTTTTTCTGCTGGAAATTAACATTTGAAAATGAGAAGGGCTGAGATTTCTGTGTAATGTTTCCAAGGTTAAACAGACAAACTGAATGACTCTCAAGTTTGTCTTATAAACAAAGAGTAACAGTATTTACAGGACTCAAAAAATTACAGAAATCCCAGTTTCAAAATGAATGTTCAAAGGGCTATTAAATTAAATTGGAGCATTTTTTCCACACATACATTTTGAAAAAATGCATCTATATCTAATGAAAATGTCCAGTTTCTCTCATTTCTCTAGTAAATATGCATCTAATTTTAGACAGCTTTACAAATCATAAAGGTTACGTCGCTGCAATTTCGAGTGCTTTAAAAAGTTATATATTTCACAACCCCAGGACATTCTCTGGAATATGTTTGTGGTGTTTAAAAGAAGAACAGTATATAATAACATTTATAAAAAATGGCAGAAAGATTATTCAGGGCTTAAATCCACATGATAAATGATTTTGAAGCTAGATAATGGTTCTTCCTGTTTAAAGACTAGAAAATAGTCTTTGTATTTTAAATTAAATGGGAATGGGTGTGATTAAAAGCTCAAGAGTGGTGTATAGATATATTAAGATAAAACTCCTTTATCTGGGTTTGATCTGCAGCCCCTCTTCTTTGTGTTCCGCAGGGGGATGTCTTCCTGTAAGCAGGATGTAGTGCACATGTGTGCTCAGTTCCCAGAGCTGCTGGTTCATCCACCATTTCTTGTCCCTCAGCTTGCTAATGGCAGTGTTTTCTCACCCTCTGCCTCTCTGTGTTTAATCATCTGGGAATCCTACAGTATCCTAGCTATCTTCAGATAGCTCGGCTACTTCTCCTCAGAAGAGATTGAGTTATGCATTTTTTACTTTGTAAAAATGACATGCGTTATAAATGATTGCCACAGACTGACTTTAAAACACATTCGCTCTCCAGAACAGTTGTTTTTAACTTCAGACCTCAGAGTCTGGAACAGAGCAGGTTTTCTACGTGCCTAAATCATCAGCAGCTGCTGTAAGGGTTGTAGAGAGGGGATAAATTGGTTAGGTCAAACTTTAATCAGATCAATTTAGCACTTCTCCCAAGTGAAGAGCTTTATAACTTAAGGAGACGTTGAACACTTGCTGAATTCTGGACCCCTGACAGAAAGCAACGGGAGATAGTAAACTTTATTTTTTAATTTTACATTGCCTTATGAGAAAAATAACAATCCAAAATAAATTATTGTGACACAAGATACAAAGATTTAGAGTTTGAAAAAGACAAAGAGGTCATTTTTTACTTCCTTTAGCTTATGATTCATTTCACAATGTGATTAGTTTGTTGAGAAAACAATATATATTTCTGAGCTCTTGGGTTATAGATGAACAGGAGAGCTGTGCCTGAAGCAGTTTGTAATATGGTGAAGCCCTATGAAGTTTCTGACGGTATCAGAAGGGACAGTTTTCTGAAAGAAATACATTTTTAAACATTTTCTAACAAGGCTGTTATCTCTTGCTAAGTGTCTAAGACAAAACTTTTTTAACTTTTTTAAAGCATATGAGTTTCTTTTAAAATGAGACCTCATGTCTGCTATATTTTGTTACCCAAAATAATACTGTTTAATATTCTATTTCTCTACTATGAAAATTGAGTGCCTCTTTTTTCAGCATTATTCAGTTGTGTTTGCAGTGCTTAATACCGCTAATACTCAATAAATGTTAAAATCTGCCAAATTCAGATATTGATTTTATTTTATTTGGGAGCCTTGAACAAGCTAGACAGTCCTGCCTTTAAAACTGCTACTCTGTCTTTTTTCAACAAACAGCTGGACGAGATCCTCAGGTTGCTGAGTCACAAGCATCCAAACAGGTTAGAGAGCTTTTTTCATCTTGTCTGCAACATTTCTTGTATTCATCCACACCACTGCACCAACACATGCAAAGCAGTACTTACAACAGTCAAACTCATACTGTACATGGATTATGTTTAGGAGCATGAAATTATGCAGAAATGTATTGTAGACGGAGAGCATGGTGAACATCCAGCATGGTCTCTAATTCTGTGAAATGTTTTCCAGAGTCATTAGTTGCAAAGATCCAGATTTTAGAATATATACACATACTGTGAGCTGTCCAATCATGTATTACTGTAGCCAGAAGTTAACATGTTTTGGAAATCCAGGAATCTGATACTCCAAGTTCTCTTAAGATTTAGGTATAATGTGATGTACCCATATGCAGGATGAGAGTAGGGTGCTATTAACCGGCAAAGGGAGCTGTGAGAAACTGTAGCCCATTACCTGGTGTTATTTTCAGTCTAGCTCTGAGAATAAAGCTAAAGTGTCCTGGGTTGCTGTATTTTTATTTTTAACCTCAGCTAATCAAGTTAATGAGGTCACCTTGATTTTTCCTGTAATCCTGTATGCTACACAATCAGTCTGTGCAATTGCCAGACACACCTCTACAAGTACAGTTTTTCCTTAAGAGTACTAACATTATGACTTGGTGGTGCTTTTAATAGGATTCCAACAGCTGGTTAAGAAATATCCTCCAGAATCTCTAAAGATAGTACTGATAAGATGCAAATGTTGCACATTGAATTAGCAAAAGTGTTCAAACAATGTTCCCTTTCTTAACTTCTGAAAGTAGACAGTTTCACATTGTGTACATGCAAGTTGTTATTTAACATTAATTATTAAATATTATTTTAGATGGGCTACATACATTAAACCTTTTAAGTATGAATTTGTAAAGATACTGAATAACTTAAACTTGAATTAAGAAATATATAAAATGCATCCTTTTCAATTCTCTTATAATGTTCCAGAGTGCATTATTGTATTGTAATATATCTATACTGTGCCTCACTTATTTTATACCCAAAATGGTATGACAAAAATATTCTCTGGTTCAGGTTTTTCACATGCCTGTAGTAAGAGCACAATATTCATGCCTGAGATATAAAAATATACATTGCATGTTGTGAATTAATTACAATAGGCTATTTCATAGGGATTAAGTGACAAAGAAGAGTAATGAAATGTCTCAATACAATTGCCATTAACAATTGGGCATAAGGTCTTAAATATGTACAGTAAGTAAGCTTTGTACGTTGGATCCAGTGTAATTCCTGAAAATGGATCCCGTGGTCTGGTGTTGCTATTTTTGTTCAAGCAAGGACTCATCTCCCTCCGACCTCCCATTGCCTGCATGGAAGTGAAGCAGCAGGCGTGGTCAGAGAGTGCCGTCAAGTGATTTATTGGATTCAAGAGATCAGCAAAGCTTTGAGCAGGACATTAAGTGATGTCTGCCAAGACCAGAAAGCAGATGAACAAGTCAGAGTAAACCTTGATAATTGATATCTCCAGTGAAACACAGTGAGCGAATACAGTAAATTCTCTTGGCAGGTGAAGCAAGCGCATACCCAGCAACAATCGTTAAGCTCGAGTGTTTAAAGCCTGGCAGGCAAATCAAACCGCTAAATGAGGTGGAGGGCTGAGGGGCTTTCACAGGGTTGTTCTACAGTCACACGTTCTAATTTTATCTTCAGCTCTTCTATTGCACTTTTCAGGAAACTGGAAGAGCAGGTGAAAACTAAGATGTAAACTTGATGTTTTAGGACCCTGAATAAAAGAGACAGTAGTGCTAGCCACCACAACAACTTACCACTCATCAGCTACTGTATCTACGTTGATCTTACAATAGAAGATTCCAGACAGGTATTTACTATAGAACACAGAAATATCATGCTTCATATAATAAAAAATATGCATATTTAAGAATAATGTCAGTTTAACAAAGAAGCAAGCCCTACAAAGACTTGAAGCATTTACGATCAACCACTCTCCCAGGGTTGATGATATTTTCCATTTATACTTAAAGAAATGAACATTGCAACTGTAACACTGTACAGTGTAAGCTAGGAGCTCCCAAAGTTATAGACTGTTGCAATAGATTGTAAAATTGCTAATTAAAAAACGACTTCGGACACTACAGGAAAAAAGGGCTTGTTTATTAGCAACACGTGTTTGAACAAGCAACAGTGACAATGAATTACAATATCGCATAACATATGATACTGTATTTATGGACTTTCAGGAACTACATAAGGGCCAACTTTGACACATATGAAAATGAATTAGAGGTAGAAAATGTCCTCTAAAAATGAATAAAAAAGAGGGAATCTGTTAAATTGCTGAGGTAACTAGTGGTGTGCCGCAAGGATCAGCTTTAGGTCCACAGTTCTTCCTGACCTACAGTAATTACTGACATCAATGACATAAGATTATGTCATTAATTTGCTAGCCTGTGAAACCTTCATAACACTGTAGTGGTAGCATATGATGTGCAAAATAACTAATGATTAAGACCCTGGTACATGCAGATAGCAAGAATATGTGCTATAAGATTAAATGGTTGTTAATATAAGGAAGCATTCTATGAAAATGATCTATGCATTTATGATGATATGACATTGTCTTTGACAATAGATAAGAGGGAAATTGTTATGTTATATGTTTTTTTAGGACCAGGGAAGGGTGAGAGGAAGAGCAATTCTCATCATTCAGAGAGGCTACATGTGATCTTACCTTCATATCCGCTGGAAACTCTTCCTTCTTTACTAGTCCTGTTGCTGCCGCAATGTTGCCAGCCCCAGAAAACACAGCGCCACCAAGCTGGGAGGCTTGTTCCTTTGTCTTCTCTGCCACTACAGAACAAGATGGTCAGATATCTGTCTTAGACAAGGCTTTTGGTACCTGATGTAACGGCACAGTTCAACAGATCAAAGTAATCACTGAAACACAGAGATTGTTCACAGAGATTGTTCTGCTCTAAAGCAAAACCATATTATTAGGCAGACGAGGTTTGTGATGTTTTAAGGCCTTCTGGTCCAGAATACAATGTGTCTTCCATTTTCTACAAAGCTACTGTAATAGTTTAACCATACTAACTTAGCAAGAGACAGTGCAGACAGTTGTGCAAAGAAATATAATTAATATTCTGCCCTTAACTGCTTTTAGAATTTTAACTGAATTGTAGTTTGTGTTGTCAAAATGAATTTGAAGATCACCTAATGTAAGACAATTTTTTTAATGTAGTTAAAAAAGGAGGCTAAAGTACTGTATGATACTTTAAAAGGACTAACCTAGCTAACTTAGATCTACACAAGTACATCACAAGCCTACTTTGGAAATGAGATTAGAATAAAAAATTTCACTTAATAAAGGGTAAATATCTGTTACATGTGTATGCCAAACACTAATGTTTCTAGTAAATAAGACACACATTGTCTTATAAGCAATGACTACATACTGTATCAGTGACAAAGAAGACATTTTCTGGAAAGTATTTTAGGCTTTGCAATGGCCAGTGTATTTTGGACTATGGCCTTGTCTGTGGAAGGGCATTCTGCAGCTTCCTACACTCATTAAAATCAAATCACAAAACTGAAAGAAGACAGATGAGTGAAACATAAATGAAAATAAAATACAAATGCATTCAGATTGGGCAAAAAGCTTTGCTTTTTTTACAATGCATTGAATGCATCTAAACCTCCCCTAGGAGGTTAAAAGATGAAATACAGGATACCACAGGAAGTGCTGAAGATCTTAGAAATACAGGAAGATGCTAGTGATTCAGATATTAAACCACTGCAAATTCTTTACCCCTGGGAAGCCTGTTCCACTTAAATGAAGACGCCAGATCACTACTAATGATTCTTATGTAATTGAGTAATTGGCATCTCTGGGGGCTTGTGTTATTCAGTTAAAAATGAAGTGTTTGGAAGTTTTAAATTCCAAAAAACCACATGCTATGAAATTAGCCAAACCCAGTCCATTTCAGTAATTATTGTTTATTTTAATATCTGAGGGAACAAATACAGTACAGACTGTACAATGTAAAAAAAAAGGTCACACTCAAAAAAGGTCCTGTTTCCCAATAGGATTGATTTCCATTGTCTGAGATATCAATAGTATACTACAGGTCAGGCCAGTGGGCTCAGGCTAATGGAATATGTAAAAGCTATTTTCTGTGGACTCGGAGAAGGAACTCTGTGTGTAATTTCACAAGTGACTGAGCGCTGACCTCATAGCCACGGACTGCGACAAAGCGAAAGATTACAAAACCCTCCTTCAGTCTCCTAAAACATCTGACTGGATGCACCACAAAATTGCATTGCCAAAAATAAAAAACAACATAATGGGCTTTTTACATAATGTTCCAAGCGGTTGGGTTTTGGAACATGTTTTAAAAAATTACTAAGTCCCCCCTCATTGATCGAACTTTGTACCCCCTTGCTGAGAAAAGCTAGTAACAAATCAAACTTTCATAAAAAGAAGAAAGCGACAGCAGTAAATTAATTTAATTGAGTGTGTTTGTGATTTTTTAAATGCTCAAATGTTTTTAGCAGTAGATTTCTCCTGATATAAACACACAGATCTCAGTGAGGAAGAGACGTACTAAATTGTTGGCACATTAATCATTTATGAATTCAGGCCTTGGTGTGCACTTTATAATATTTAATTAAGCTCAGACAGTTTCAGTTAATCAAAAATACATAGACCCATGAAACTGGCATGTAATGTTAATGAATTTGCATCAGCTCTTAATTTTCAGTTTTCAACAAAATGGATAGAATAACTGGATCATTATACACAGTAAATCTAGGGCATGCTGAAGAGCAAAACAAGAATTAATATTAACTGTACAACACTGAGTAATGATTGTTGTATGTACAAACTTAGAGAAAAGGCCCAGGTCACTGTACTTAAAATCAACAAATCCAAAATCTTACAGCATAATAACTGTTTTTAGCTGTCAAACTTTCTTTCATTTATGCAGAGAGAAAATGAGAAATTAATATGATCAATTACTTGATAAGAATATCATCATTTTCACACACAAGGCAAAGGATAAATTAAAATATGTATTTCAAACTCCATACAAATAAGGTGATTCATACAGTTGTGGTAAAAAATGTAAAGACCATTAAGTGTTGAAAAAAACATTTAATTTATATTGTTAAGTTAAAATTGACTTAGGTAATACTTCATTAATATGTCAATAATTAATTTAGGTAGTTCTGTACCTCAAAGGATCATTAATCCAGAGCTTATCCTGGTGTTAAGTGAACAGAGGGCAAAAGACTCTCCCTAGATGGGATATCAGCCTTCCTCCAGTACAAGCTGGTCCCCATTCATTCTGTTCAATGCACTGGAGCAAGCAGTTCTGCAGTGGGGACTCGAACCCATCACCCACTAATCATTTATCATGGATCCGTACCTAAGCAAGTATTTTATGAACTCTCTCTTTTTTTTGACAGTCTTGAAGAGGTGCTTCCTGTAAGTCTTTAAAAGGGCCGTCAAATTCTAATGGGGGGATATTTGACCATCTCTTCGCAAGACTTCCAGATTCCCCTTGTGATCTGCTTTCTTCAGCTTGTGTTTTAAAAGGTTTACTAGGGACATTGATGAATAATCATGAGCACTCCCTGTGTCATTGAGATTTATGCAGGTATTGTATTGCTGCTGTATTGCGAGGTCCATTTGTACCCACGTAAAGTTTCCTAACAGAACACTGGCTCCCGTTACAGTATCAAAACAAAGAAGACTTTTGTCTTTTATGGATTAACTTACCAGATGTAACACCATGTACAACTCCTTCTTTAGTTTTGCTTCCTGTTAAAAAAAAATGGAATCAGGTTAGTGTGTTTTCACAGAAAAAACAGTCTGATTTCTTTTCTACATGGATCCTTAAAATATGGTAAGCCAGCTAGCCTTAAATGATAAGTCTAACTTATCTACCATACACATGTATTTTTAATCAAAGACTTCATGGACAGTAATTTAGCCCTTTGGGTTTTACCTATTCATGTGAATATATACAGCACAATCATGATGTATAACGAATAGGCTATTACAAGATGTCTGCTTTCAAAAGTTCACGAAATTAAAATGTACTTAAATAAATAGCCTGCATTATGTTTTAGATATCCACACTTCCAAACGGGTGTTTTTACATCATGCTTCTGTGTATGGCATTGACCAACAGGCTGGTAAACTTGTTCAGACGAACAAATAAAAATCCGTTATTTCCTCAGCCACTGCCCTGAACTGAGAGACCCACTTGTTACTGATATTGTTGCATTTTCATGTGCATCGTGCTAATGATGCCTAGATTTAGAGTGCAGGTAAGGTTATTTGGTTAATTAAAAAGTCTTAAAAATAAAGACAAAGAAAAGAGAGAACAGAACTGAAGAAGTGACTTAGCATGGCTCAGTTAAGACCTTTTGCACTACTGCACCAACAAAGAGCCCTACAGTAGCAGAGTCTTCTACCGTATTTACCTAAACCACCCCCAGGAAAAACAAGACAGCATCCATTTCCTTCAGTACTGCCTGAAGCTGTAAAACACTTTCCAGTAAATCCAAAAGGTAACTGTCAATATACAGCAAAGTGGTGATACAAATCTGAACATCTCCCTTCTTTTTTTTCCAACAACCACTTTGGATTCAGGACTCACAAAGGTACATCAAAGGAAAGATCACTAGCAGCATCATGCTGTGTTGGTGTACATCAAGGTCTTCAATTTATCCTCTGAGATCTTTTTTACATTTCTCTCATGATTTGATGCCTTAAGATTGCACTTCAAACATGCAATTTGAGGTGGCGTCAGTAGTCATGTGACGTCATAATCCAATTTTTAGACAGAGACTGAAACAGAGGAGCTCTGGGGATAGAGCAGCAAATCATGGGGGATATTCAGACTATATTTTCACCACGTTTCAAATAAGATATTGCTGCTCTGGAATCAGACCAGAGAAGATCAGGCATGTACATTACCAGCTTTTAAAATAATGCCAGCCATTTATGGAATAATTCAAAGAACTAGCTTCTTAATGACAGAATAATCAGCCTTGGTTACACAAGTGAGGGAAACTGATCTCTAGCAGGAGAGCAGCTGCAGATTTCTTATTTTTGTGTTGTTTTCTGCTTCCTAATTGCTTTGCTTAAAATACATACAAATTCTTGAAGGCATTGACACACTCCACCCTCTGTACATCTTCAGAACCATCAGTGAAATAAAACCCAGTGGACTGCATGCTGAAGTGAGAACAGAAGGCACTTCTTTACACAAAGAGTTGTGGGAGAACATACTGTCAAAGCTGTTACCATGTAGCTACTAGTAACCAAATAAGCTACATGAACCAGATGGCCTCTTCTAATTTTTAACCCTTTTATGCATAATATTACAAAAACAACAGAAGGAGAACATAGCATAAATTGGTTGTGGATATTGATTACAATTCCACCATTTCATGAGTTGACAGTGTTTTCTTTTAAAATATTCTTCTAATTTAATATCTGTAAGGCTGTGTAAAGATGAAATGAACTACAGCACATATTCATTTGCACAATGTAATTGCAGTGATTTGTAAAAACATGAATCATTTATTCATAACAGACTTAGACTTTGGCCGCAATATATATTTTTATCCATCTGATGAATCACAGCAACAGCCTTTCTGCAACATTACGACAGCATATTGTTTTAATTTAAATGGATATTAAACCAGTCTAAAAAGTCAAAAATCCATGTGTAGTTTCCTCTAATTGTGACTAAATCATTCAGCAATATAATTATATGGTGAGATCCAGCCATCTTTCAGAAAAAAGGAAAGGCATTCGTTTTAATCACTTCAGTGTTAGTGCCATAAATGTATAATGAAATGTGCCATTTAGATGTAAACAGTTATGCATAATATAAAAGCCTATTTATAAAAACACGCATTTTCAAATTCTCATAACTGACTTGTTATGAATATTATAGAGAAATTATTGCTAGAGCCAGTTATGAAAAGGGAGCAAATATATGTGGTAAATAACACAAGAAAACATACATCAGAACGAAAACCAAACACATCACCCTTTACTATTCAATATCTGTCTATATGAATAGACAGTGTATACAATTAAAAACAAATCAAGAAGACATCTCAATGTCCACTACTACAAATCACTGTCTTTGGTTGTTAGAAAGCAATTCAACAGAGAAGAAATGACACTGAATTTTTAGCCTGGTGAATGATATGGAGCTTTAAATAATTACTCAGAATTTGCCTAGTAAATTGAATTTTTTTCTTTATTTTTAAATCCTGATAATGTATTTTCTTTCATATTCACTGAGATGTCAAATAAAAAAATAGTGCTTCTTTATTTTTCTTTCTTTTGGTTTTACACCATATACGATAATGCCACTCTTTTCCAGTGAGAAGGAAACTGGGCCATATGCGTACCCATCTGTCCGAAACAAATCTGGCCTCGGAGACTGCCCACATGCACACAATCTGGAGCTTTCATCTTAGTCCAGAAACCAAAGAAAAAATGCAAAAGACACCAGAACCTCAGTGCCTGACCCAGAGGCATCCACTCATTCACCAATGTGGTCTTGAGGCAGGTAACTACTTGCTAAAGGCAACAGACAATTCTCTGTTACCCGACTGGCTCAGAGGCCACTGCCTCCTGTGATGCCTCCTCTTCTCTTCAGGTGTATTTCCTTCCACATTCACCAAGAGAGGAATGAAAGCCTTTGTTTTTTATCCCTTTGATTAATAAACTCTCTTGTTTTGTTTTTCAACATCTATTAGTCTAATTGATGCACAACTGGCAAAACCAACAAGAAGGTAATGCTTTCTTGCTATATCTTTTAATGCTATATCTTTATTTTTCATTTTTTCATGGCTTTATAACCACTCTTCCATGAATGAGTTTTATATCCATGCCACCTGGAAGATTCAGTGTGTAGTGTCAGTGGGAAAAAAAAAAACTGACAAGATGATGGATATTAAGGAAAATTGAATACAAATAATCTGGGGTATGAAACTTGTGAGTTTTGAATACCTAATTTATTGTATCAATGCAGAAGGTTGGTACAAATGAGAAATCAAACTAAAAGATCATTTCTTATTGTGAATGGCAGATGGTATTCAGCTCCACTGTGAATCAAGTCATGATAGTACCTGTGGTGAACACTAAATCCTGTATTAATCCTGACTGGAAATGTAGACTTATAAATTGTGGAAAAAGCCTCTAACAGAACTGCAAATAAAAAAGGTGTCTTTACATGGTTTTATTTGAGATATTGCTATGCAGATCATGTAAAACTGAATCAGTGAAAGACCAGCATCAATCAGAAGCTGTCAATATTAACCAGGATGAAACCTAGCCTGGCAAGGTACAGTACTTTAAACCTTGCAGAGGTTTCACATTTTGTGGCTTTAAACTTCCAGTCATGACACCTTGAAGTAGCAATAATATTATTTACTATGTATACAAAATCTATGCCAAAACAAAAAAATGCAAAAGAAAGAAAAATATATATAATTAATATGAAGGAAAAATGGAAAAGACATGACTGCATAAGCATTCAACCCCTTTGTAATGGTAAATCTGAAATCACTTAGGTGCACAAAATTATCTAAATAAGCTTCAAAATTAACTGAGTGACCCCTGACTGTGTGCAATAATAGTGGGCTTCATGATTTTAGAATAATTACCCCTGCTTGTATGAGGTCCCTTACTCAGGCCATGAATGTTAAGCAAAGTTACTCAATCATGAAGACTAAGGGGCTTTCAAACAAGTCAGGGATAAAGTCACTGTAAAGCACAGATCAGGAAAAGTGTAATAATATCAAAGTCTCTGAATACCCCTGTGAGCACAGTCCTCTCAGTCATCGAGAAATGGCCAAGTCTCTCCAAACTGAGGAACAGTTCAAGTAAGCACATGATGAGGGATGTCATGGTAAGGTCAGGGCAACCTTTGAAAGACCTAGGGTTCAGTGGCTCAGATAGAGAAAGTGACCATGAGTCAACAATATTCTGGTCACTCCATAAAGCTGGCTTGCATAACAGTGTGGCCAACCGTTCTCAGACCCCACATATACAGTACTTTCAAACAAATCATTTAAGTGATACTGCAAACATCTGGCCAAAGGCTTTGTGGTCAGATGGGACAAAATTGGAATGTTCTGGTGTGTTTACAAATTATTACATCTGACACATATTTCACAGTACAAAAAACTGCAAGATTGGCAGGGATTTACCTATAAAAGACTCATGGTAAAACGTTTGGTAAAAATACAAAGGTGATTCCAACAAATAATGAGTTCACGGGTCTGAATACTTTTCAATTAACACATTTTTTGCTTCCACTTACTGCAACTTATTTTGCTTTTAGAAGCCTCCAGTTTAAGCATTCAGGTTTTCAATTAAATATTATTTTATAGGAAGGATCTTAATACATTTGTAAGGCACTGTATATGAGCAAATACAGCATATGCATATCAGACCATGCTAATTAACTAATTATCTATGCATTACCAAGAGAATTGCAAAAAATGCAGGGATTACAATTGCATTTACTGTCCTCAGTTTATATTTGTTATTTTATTTTATAAAATGTTTAAATTTTCTCTCGTGAAGACTTCAGTTAGTTACTGAGCTCTGTTGGAATGCATATGGAAAATATATCACTGCCATTTCTTTTTAGAGATAAGTAACAAAATTGTACAAATAAGTCTTCTTGTCTACAGATTTGTTTGTTTGGTTACACAATGTGATGTTTCTGCTGCCTGCTTGTTTATTGTTACAGAAGTGGCATTAACATGACTTTGACAAAT